TTTGGTTGGTTTTCTTTCTGTGTTATTGTTGCCATATCTTCTTGTGATGTTTCTGAGTCTGACCATGGAAAGGTGTTGTTGAGTTGTTCGTCTGTGATTAAGTTTAGTGTTGTGGCATTCGTATCATTGCTTGAACTGTTTTCTTGGGCTGAAGAGATATCACTGGTTGCATTCCCCATCCGATTTGTGTGATTGGGTTGGGATTCTAGCAAAGGTGTCCATTGTTGCTACAATCTGGTTCATACTGTTTTGCATTCTGTCTAGGGAGGCAAACAGTTGTGTTTGGCAGCTTCTGATGTCATTCATGTTATTCTCTTGTGTTTCTTGAGGTTGTTGTTGGTTGGTTGTTTTCCTCTTTTCTTCATTGATCTGTTCACTTTCCATAGATTCATAGTATTCTTCGTTGTGGAACTCAAGGTTTGTGATGCGTTCATCTAATTCTGTGACTTTTTCCTTTATCTCTCCTAGGTCTCTTTGGATTTGTCTTAGGAGGTTTGCAATTTCTGTCAAGGATTGTGGGTTTTCTTCTCTTCTTTGTGTTTGGGTTTTGACTGCGGTTGCATAGGATCCTGCTTTGCTTTGTCCATCTGGTCTCGGTTTGTTGTCATTGCGAATTGTGCCTGTTTTGGCAGGTCTGAATTTGTTGTATAGTGTTCCAAATTTGGATGCTTGTTCTTATTGATATTCCTGCTATTGTTGGTGGCGAAGCTTGATTAGGCAATCTTTGGTGATGTGGTTCTCAGAGTTACAGATTGCACAGAGCTTGGTTATGATTGGTGTGAAGGTGAGTTCTGTTTTTCCAAGGGTGTATGTTTCTTGTACTGCTTACAAAAGGTTTTCTTGGGTTGCAAAGCTTATTACTGCAAATCTTCTAGGTTTGTATACTGTTGTTGCTGTTCTGGAGATGCAACATGTTTGTCCTTTGCATTGTGTGAGAATATTCTTGAGGTCCCATGCTGATGTGTTTGGTGGTAGATGGATTAGTTTGGCTGCAATCTCATGTCTTGCCCTCATTTGGTCTAGTGACCATTCTGCATCGTTGATTCTGACTGAGTCTCTCCTAATTAGGGTACTCCTTTGGTTGATTAACTTATCTTTGACTGTTTTATCTGTGAAGGTTATTGTGACACATTGCCATAGGTTCTGGGTACTCATAGTGATTCCCTGGATTTCTCCATATTTGGAAAACACCTGTTTCACTTCAATGAGTTTTGTGTTCAATGGGATGTCCCACACGACTATGGAGTTTCCTTTGTTGAGTTCTTGGCATCTGATTTCCATGTGTGCTAGCTTGTGATCTTCCATATCTGGAAATGTGATTGTGGTTGTGTGTTCGGCTGCCTGTTGATCTCCAAAAATGGTGATAATTTTCATTTCTTCATTTCTTCTCTCACTGCAAACTGTAAGAAGTCCTTCAGGTGAGTCCAGGGCAAGAATAATGTGTTTGATCTTCTGGTTGATGGTTTTTCCCTTGACTAGCTTGGTGGCGATGCCTACTTTGTATCTTTCTCTCCCATATCTTGTGGCTCTGTCAAATGGGGATCTGGGTCTTGGTTTGATTGAAGGTCTGATTTGTTTACCTTTCTTGTCTACTGTAAACCATTCTTGCTCAATAGTTTTCTCTTGGTTGAGTTCTGCTTCAGACAGCATCTCTTCATCACTGTTATCTATTCTGGCATAACTGGATGTTCCTACTGCTTGTTGTTGCCTCTCGCTCTCAAGTCTTGCTTTATGTGGTTCTGTGTTGTTTGTAGCTTTAGTTGCTTCTTGTTTGTTTATTTCTTTTTTCACTTCTTCTCTCCATGAAGTGTATCCTTCTTCTTGGATCACTGGTGTTAAGGCGTCCTTGGTTTGTTGTTTCTTTGGGTGGGATGTCCTGGTTCACTCTGTTCAACATGTTTTGTGCCGAGTTTTTTGTTGTTATCTGTGTTGGAAGAGCTGTGGGTTTCTTGGCATATGGTTGGGTCCTGACTGTGGTTGGTTCTCTGGTTCGCTTGTCATGTCTGAGCTATCTTTCAGTGGAGTTTGGGTTGCTGGTTGAGGCCTTTGGACCTCTGTTGCTGCTTGACATCTTTTCCTTTGTCTGGGTGTTTACTGCACCTCAGATGTGTGGGAAAGAGTTCGGTGCATAAATTCATATATTATATTATGATAATCAATTTTTTTTTAATTTTTAATTTTTTTTATTAAAATGAAACAACAAATTCAAAGCATTGTAGCTTACAATTTCAGTTAACAAGCTTTTTTATAGTCCTAAGTAACTATTTGCAAAAAGACTAAAAGAACAATTTTTATTAAGAACTTAAAGTAATTGATATAGTAATATTTTGAGTAATTTCATTTTTTTCTTATAGAAAATAATTTTTTTATTTTAAATATATTAATAAATATTTATTTATTAATATTATACAGTTAGACCTCGTTAATATCAACTTCGTTAATATCAACACCCCTCTATTAGCAACATCAGTTATAGGACGAATTTTTACTTATAAAAATTCTCTCGCTGATATCAACTTTTATATTATACCCCATTAATATCACTATCAACATAAATAAAGTTTTTTACTCTTAATCATATGCACCCCGTTGATATCATCTACGTATTTATTTTTTTTTTATTGTACATGTATACCCTAACATTACAGTACCTTGAAACAGTGCTACTGTATAAGATACGTTAACACCTTTATTTGCAAGTTTGGTTGCTATGTTTCTTGTTGAAAGGTAAGAATTTCTACGAATATATTGGCCTATCGCCCGTGCAGAAGATTTCATGATTTTTTTTGGTCACCCATTGCCTCCTCTGTGGAATACCCCCCCAGTTTCTCAGATTTTTTTAATGTTGTTATAGATAGTCCTGAGGGGGATGTTTGTTCGGGCAAAAATCTCATTGGCGGTACGTACACCCTCATTCCACAGAAATAAAATAACTTCGCTTTGATGTTTTTTAGGAGACGACGGCATTTTCAAGCACCGATTTTAACTAAAGGCTATAGGAAGGGAGGGATGGGAACGTAACACAATTTAGCCACATGTCTCATGTCTTACCTGTATTAAAAGAACGAGAATCCAGCTTAAATTAGTTAGACCGCATCAATTTAATGAACATCGAAAATTTTGCCATTTTTTTTGCAACACCCTGTACATATCACATGTATGCATACAGTGTATAGTTTCCTTTTATACCCCTTTGTATGCTCCCCCGATACTTCAACATTACAAATTCGCAGTCGTGGCAATAATGAATAAAAAACCAGAACAACCACGAAAGAAGCGGATGCACCTAACCATAAAATCCAAGCAAGAAATATGCCAACGAAAACAGACTAATCCAACCTTCACCATTGACCAACTTTCTGAAAAATATGGTTGCGAAAGAAGCACAGTTTCAAAAATTTTGAAAACGAAGGACGAGTGGCTATCTATGCAACTGACGGAACACGAAGCAAAAAAAATGACCAATAGGCCAGCAAAGTTCATACAATTGGAAACTGCTTTAAGTATTTGGACGCAACGGATTTTCTTACAAAAGGCAATATTAACA